GCATGAAATGGATCAAAATCCACAAACATAAACACAAGACAAGCGCACGGAAGAGGAGGAAATGAATGGTGAGTTCCGCACGGCTTCACATGAGTCTTGGACAATATGCATGGCTAAAGGACAAAAAGGCATCTTGACCATAGCACATACACACATAAACGCACGGCCTTGCCCAAGAATGGATTGAAAAATCCGATCACTAATGCTAATCTCGTGATTAATGTAAATTAATCACTTAACTATGTTTAATTATCCAATTAAACATAATGCTTAATTACCAAAATTATTCCGAACGTAAACGGTACGCCGAAAATATTTTCCGGTAATCTTGACTGAAATAACTGAAAATAATTAATTCCGAAAAATATCGGAACTAAAAATATAATTTATACTGATAAAAGTCGGGATATTACACCTCCACTCACTCCAACCCGACCAGACCTATTCCCCACTCCATTTGCATACCTTGGTCAGCCCAAAATCAGCAAGACCACCTCCAAAATCGTGCTAGACCTCAACCCCAAGATCATGGGTAGGGAAGAGTGCATTTTCCACTTATTTTGGTCTCCATTGACCACTACCTTGGGCAATCCGCCCCACCACCTACATAAGACTTTTTCTTCAGCTTTTATTAATCCTTTGGCAAAAACATTCGAACCTATTGTGGAGAATCTAAGGAAAAGTTAGCTCAACTTACCTCGGCCACTCACCAGCGCGCAAGGCCTCGAAAAAGGTAGCACCGAGCTCTTTTTGGTCCCAACCATTTTCCACCGAGGTCCATCAGCTTAAAAGTGCTCTTTGGACATTTCTAAGCCTCCTCAGTCCATCATAACCCAGCCATTAGTCCCCGGGTAAGCCAAAGTGCTTTTTGATGTATAACACTCAGACATTGCCATTTATACAAGTTTGAGAAGTTGTTTCGGTGACCCCATGCTCCTGCGTGCCATTTAGGCCCTCCCGAGTATCATGCATGTGGACCCGGGGTCCACTAGTGTTTTATGTGATATTTGTGCTTATTTTACCATATCATGATGTTTGGAGTTGCATG